ACTAAAGTGCTTCTGGGATTTGGTCCTGGGAGATTCCTAATCTGAAAAGGCACATTGGAACAGCCAGGTTTTCAAATTCTTTCTGAAGACTGCCAGTGTAGGGGCTTGTCTGAGATCTTTCGGGAGGGTGTTCCAGAGGCGGGGGGCCACCACGGAGAAGGCCCTGTCTCGCATCCCCACCAAGCGCGCTTGTGACACGGGCGGGATCACGAGCAGGGCCTCTCCAGATGACCGGAGTTAGCGTGTGGGTTCGTAGACAGCGATGCGGTCACGCAGGTAGGGTGGTCCCAAACCGTTCAGGGCTTTGTAGGTAAGCACCTGCACCTTAAATTGGGCTCGGAAAATAAACGGCAGCCAGTGGAGCTCCTTAAACAGGAGGGTTGACCTCTCTCTGTAATGGGTCCCAGTTAACATCCTGGCTGCTGCCTGTTGGACCAATTGGAATTTCCGAGCCGTTTTCAAGGGCAGCCCCACGTAGAGCACACTGCAGTAATCTAGTCTAGAGGTGACTAAGGCATGGACCACCCCGGCCAGATCAGCCTTAGCGAGGTACAGGCGTAGCTGGCGCACAAGTCTCAGTTGTGCAAAAGCCCTCCCGGTCACCGCCGAAGCCTGAGGACTCCCAAGCTACGGACCTGTGGCTTCAAGGGGAGTGTAACCCCGTCTAACACAGGTTGCCATCCTATACCCCGATCTGGTTTACGATCGACCAGGAGGACCTCTGTCTTGTCGGGATTAATCTTCAGCTTGTTCGTCCTCATCCAGATAGACACAGCGGCCAGGCACTCATCTAGCACCCGAGAGGCCTACTTGGAATTGGGTGGAAAAGAGTAGTAGAGTTGTGTGTCATCTGCGTAGAGATGGCACCCAACTCCAAAACTCCGGATGACCTCTCCCAGCGGTTTCATGTAGATGTTAAAAAGCATGGGAGAAAGAATAGAGCCTTGCGGGACCCCACAGGTCAAAGGCCAGGGATCCGAGCAGGCATCTCCCAGCTTCACCATCTGAGTTCGTCCCTCCAAGAAGGACCGGCGCCACGACAGAACCGTGCCCCCGAGACCCATCCCAGAGAGGCGACCCAAAAGGATACCATGATCGATGGTATCGAAAGCCACTGAGATGTCTAAGAGAACCAACAGGGTCACACTCCCCCTGTCCAGTCCTCTACGGAGGTCATCCACCAAGGCGACCAAGGCTGTCTCGGTGCCGTGACCAGGCCTGAAACCTGACTGTGCCTGATCTAGGTAATTAATGTCATCAAGGAAGCCCTGGAGCTGGAGGGCGACCACCCACTCCAGCACCTTACCCAAAAAAGGGAGGTTGGAGATCGGCCTGTAATTGTTCAGCACCGTAGAGTCAAGGGAAGGCTTCTTAAGGAGTGGGCGAACCACAGCCTGTTTCAAGTTAGATGGAAAAATCCCTTGCTCCAACGATGCGTTAATAATCAACACAAACCAATCAACCAACCCCTCCTTGGCAGATTTAATAAGCCAGGATGGGGAAGGCTCTAGGGCCGAAGTGGTCGCCCTCACAGCCCCAAGGACCTCCTCCACGGTCTCAGGTAGAAGAAGCCAAAAAGAATCCCACAAAATTGGACAAGCAGATGTGTCAGTCACCTCCTCTGGCACTGCGATAAAATTGGAGTTGAGCTCAAGATGTATCTGGGTGACTTTGCCTGCAAAATGGTGTGCGAAATCGCAACACCGAACTGCTGGGTCATCAGAGATCTCCTCCACCACAGGTGGATGAAGGAGCTCGCCAACGACCCGAAATAGCTCTGATGACCTATTTGCTGCAGACACTATACGGGTGGTCGTGAAAGATTCCCTGGCCACTCGTATAGCCACGGAGTATGCCCTAAGAGAGGCCCTAGCCCGTGCTCGATCAGACACATCCAGAGATCTCCTCCACTTGCACTCTAGCCCCCTTCTCGTATGCTTCATCACAGCCAACTCCTCGGTGAACCATGGAGACGGCCTGTCACGTCGCAACAAGATGGGGCGTTCGGGAGCGATCGTATCTATCGCCCTGGACATTTCCTTATTGTAAAGATCGACCAAGGCGTCAACAGGATCGCCAGGGTCCATGGCAGGAAGAACCCCAAGATTCCTCAGGAATCCATCTGAATCCATCAGTCTCCTGGGGCGGACCATCTTAATTTGTCCTCCAGCCCTGCGAAGGTTAGGGGTCGCAGCGAGTCTAAAGCTGACCAGATAGTGATCAGACCATGACTGGAAGGATGTTTTGTTCTTCCACTCTGATCATACCACTGTCCGCCACAAAAACTAGGTCGAGGGTGTGTCCAGCCTGGTGGGTGGGTCCTGATATAATTTGTGACAGTCCTATGGTTGTCATGGCGGCCATAAAGTCCTGAGCTGCGCCAGACAAAGAGGTCTCAGCATGAATGTTAAAATCTCCCAGCACCACCAAGCGCTGGGAGACCAGGGCCGAATTAGAGGCCACTTCCGCTAGCTCAGACAGTTGTACAATTGTGCTAATTGCGAAGGTGCTGCAATTACAACAACAGACAGGGTATAGGGCTTTTAACTTTAAAGAACCCACCCACTGTCACTAATTGTATAGACTGTTCTTAAGTTCTGCCACCGAGTATACAGGTGTGGATGATTATAGATGTAATTCAGGTAACTGCCACCAACGTGAAGTATTGCCGATGAGAACTGGCTCCCCAGAAGCAGATAAATGGAGATGACACGGTCTTCAAACAAAAGTTAATAAGTTTATTTTGTACAAAGTGTATGGTTGCAGGCTGTTGGTTAACTTGGAATAACTTAGAGAACTTTGAATGTAACTTGGTTTGCAATACAGTTCACACTTCTGGATGATACAACTTGTAACTGACTTTTACTGTGGTGAAGCACTTTCTTTAACAATGTTTCCTGAGGTGAATAGCCTTCTGATTTGATCCTTTCTTGAATCAAACCCCAGATCCCTAGTTCTTTCCTAACTAGTGATCTAAACAAGCTTCCCTTAGCCCTCTCTGACTAATGAAACTAATTAGGTTTCCCCCTTCAACCTTCCTAGACTGAAGAAACCTCTGGCTGTTCACGCCCACTGCTTCTCCTCTCTTCACTCTCAACTGCTCACTCCCTCTCCAAACCCCCAACTGAACTGCTTCATTTCAAAATGCAGCTAACATTCTCTTTGCTAGGCTCCGCCCACTTCTCCTCTCTGAGCTAGCCTGCCTGGTTTCCTTGGTAATGCCCGGTGGATACAACTAGTTGGCTCTAGCTTCAGCTACTGTTACCAAAACAAATATATTCTAACTGTTAAACATTTATACAGTATCAGTAACTTCTGTACAGTTCCCAGTAGGATATGAAGTATTGTCATCCTATAGTATGTCAGGGAAACAGCATAGAACAGTGGTTCTCAAGCAGTGGTTCCTAGGTGTTTTGGCCTACAACTGCCAGAAATTCCAGCCGGTTTTGCAGCTGTTAGGATTTTTGGGAGTTGAAGACCAAAACATCTGGGGACCCACAGGTTGAGAACTACTGGCATAGAAGAAAGTTCCTAGCATAAGATTCCTTTCTTCATAACATACAAGGGAGCAGGTTTAATTATCCCTTCCAGACAATGAATTTTTTTAAAAAATCATTCTAGATTTTTAAATAATTATTTTTATATAAATCATTATTCATTGTTATGTTTATTCCTAAATATGTTTGGAGTGTTGTTTCAGTTACTGTTTTCTGTCTTAGTTAATCTTTTTCTTTGTTATTTAACTTTGCAACTAATACATTGATTAAGAGTCCAGCAACTAATTTAACTTGGTGCATCCTTTTAGGAAATTCCTTCAGTGGGTCTTCCGATATATTGTTCTTATGTGTAATGTAAACCTGTGATAATTGTAAAATACTACTAAGTACTTAACCAGTGATAAAGAATACTAATCTCATTGTATTTGTCATTAAGAGTTGTAAACAACTTTGCGAGAAAACACATGAGGAATTCAATCTTAATGTATTCTGATGCAAACTGAGCTTACACTCACATCCTGAACTATTCACCAGCTTGCATAAATATCTTGAAGTCCAGAGAGAAAATAGAAACAAAATCAGAAAGCATTTTGAAATATACATTTGGGATGAAATACCTGTTCACTTTTAAATGATGTACAATAAGTTGTCTAGCCCTTTGAGCTTTCTCCCTGGCAAAAAGATAGCAATACAGATGTGGATTTTAGGAAAAAACATTGTTGGTAAATACATAATTAAAATTGTATTAACATGATAATGTTTGTATGAATTTGAAAATAGCAATTTAACATGATTTATTAACAAAGCACATGCAAAAATGGGAACAGATTAGAATTAGGCAGATTTGTCTATCTCTAGGTATGATGCTAATGCAGTTGAGGGTACAATCTATCAAGGATGATGACATACAGCAGAAAAAATGTCCAAGGTCAAACAGGGAATAGTCAAGAAGAGAAGAAACCCAAGAGTAGTTCAATGAAATTGTTTTCTCCCTTACCCACCATACATTTAAGACACAGTTGTCATCCTTCACAGTTTTAGTTCTGTTGCATGTGTGTGGCTTTTTTCCCCTATTCCCTTGGCTAAAGAAATGAAAATGAAAGATCCATGCAGCATCACAATTGTATAATGGAAGGTTTGTATAAAAAAGTAGTAAAACTTCCCAAAAATAATATTATGGGTACTTTTTTTTCATTTTTTTAAATTCTTATACTCATAAGAAAACAGTACCTAGAGATATCCTAGTTTGCTGGTCTTTAATGTTGTTGAACTATACCCATATCCAAGCTATGATGCTAACAGTAGCCTAGTGAATGGATTTGTACAATAATATCAGAAGAAATTGTGCCTTGATCCTATTTCTGTAATAATTTATGTTTTCCAGTGCCTGTTGTTACTGTATGTGGACTGATTTTTGAATGTTAGTAGCTGAAGAACTGGTGAGATGAATCATGACTGACCTGGAGTTTGTTGTCTTGTTTTTCCACCCTAACCCCATCACAGGAAAGAGCTCAACATTTACAGAATGCTCTTGTCTCTCAAGTAGATAAATCCACACAGACTGAACTTGTAGGCCATGATGTAAGTAGCTGTATTAAACAGTTTTTCTTTTATCTTATGTATTGATATTTAAATTTCTGCTTCCTGTGTTCTTTTGCTGCTGTCTGTGTATTGATGTAAAAATGTGCAATCTCATTCATCTTTCACTTTTAAATGATTCTCAAATGTGTTCTGCAACAGAAAAAGATAATTACATCTACCTGGCGGCATACCAATGTTCTATTAATTGCATGTTTTTCCAATACTTGCCTTGTATTCTCTAAAATTTGTGGCGGAAGGAACATGGAGGATGTGTATTAGTAGAATTAGAAATCTTTTTGTATTTGCAAATATGAAGAAGCATTTACATACTTATTACAACTCAATGAACTTATTATGCTTGTAATCACTAAGCCAGACATTTTTTTACATTGTGTTCCAAATGAAAGCTGAGGAACTTTGGAAAGAAATGTGTATTACTATTTAAATCACTGGGTCTCAGCAGGGGATGGTGCCAACAATTTAATTGAAAATTAGAATTTTTATCCTGGTGTAATTATGTGAGTATTACGAAAGTACTCATGTCTATGGGATAACTCAATGATTTGGTTTATGAGCATTTCCTTGTCTCTCTCAACTGGCCTTCCAAGTATATTGGTAAATCAGTGGTTGGAGAGAAAATCTCAAGCAAAAGTTCTGTCAACCGAAAATAAAATTGTACTAGTATTCTCTAAAGTGGTATTCTCTATAGGTGAGGAATGGTATGCTAACTGTTATGTTCTAAACTAGGTACTTTCTAACGGTATTCTTTAAAGCAGATCTGATTTTTATTGTAAGATCAGATGTATTTTCAACTTCTTTCACAGGTATGACATTTGTTTGTTGGTTATTTACATGGAACTTTGATTTCTCAGTTCGAATTGGCGGATAAGATTCATTCTTTGGTGTTCTGAGCTCCAACTTTCAATTAATATTTTGTTTTGTTGTCTTTATACAAGTATATATCCATATGTGAATGGGTTATTTTTGTGCTAGATTCCTCTTGGGAGTTTCCAAAGAAACAAAGTGGAATGAATTCTATGAAGCAGCCTTTCATTTTTATATTAGCAAAAAAATGTGGCAAGTTTCTTAGAAAGATATCTTCTCAGAAATTTTGTCTCAGTACTAGTTGCCATGTTTTAAGGATCCAGGGTCTCCCAAGTATAGAGCTTTCATGTATTTTTTAAAAAAGCTCTCCTTCAGTTGTAAACCCTGTAGCACGAATGAAGGAGAGCAGAATTGTAGCCATCTCAAAGAGAGAAACTGAGTTATTGATGCAGCAAAATATGGTCTCCAATTTCCCCAAAATATTATTTTTCCACAGAAAAGATTTGATTATCTGTCTTATTCCAAGGTCCTGAAGATGTTGTGTGTGTGTGTGTGTTATCTTTTAACTTATTTAACACTGCAAGATGACAGAGGGTGAGTGTTCGTTTTGTTTTTTCTTCATTCCTTTGAAGTTTCCTGTTTTGAAAAAAAAAAACAGGCAACTGCAAAGTGGTACCTATGGCAACCTCATAAATAAGGTGAGCACAACCATTCTGAACTTAATTCATGGGTTCATCTGTACCAGCTATATGAGTCAGCTCAGGGGATTATTATTATTGTATTTATTATTAGTAGTAGTATTAGTATTATTAGCCACTCTCTCTCCCTGAAGGGACTCAGGGCAGTTTCCAAACATGTCATAAAACTGGCAAACATTCAACATGGGGTCCAGTTACTCTAATGTAAGAGAAGGTCAGTTAACACTGCCTTCTCTTATGTTAAAAAAAATTGTGGGATACTCATAGCATTTAGGGCCAGTGCAACCAGTTGTGCTGCTTTCTAGTTGGAAGGCTAGGGCAACCTGGGGAAATGGGATGGCACTTACCTTATCCTCATCATTCTGGGCTTTGTGGCACACACCAGGCATGAAAATGGCACTGATTATTGCTCATCACCTGTAATGATAACTGAAGATATATGACTGGTTCGGGGAGAGGGGGGAGAAATTCCTCAATTTCTGCCACCCCTCTCTTGGTTACTTCATTGCTCTGGCTATTATCATTATAAGCACTGAGTAGTGACCAGCACTATTCTCATGCCCAGTGATCAAGCAGTACTAATCAATGCTGGGATCACTGGGCCGCACACATGCCATCCAGTCATGGGCCATCTTAGGGACATGCAATGTGGACACCTACAAGTTCCTGAGCCAGTTCAGTGGCTGCAATGTGGACCATGGCAATGCTGACCCAAAGTATCCTACTCTATTTGTGGCGCATGTAATTGGCCCCCATGCATTTTTTTCCCTAAATTGTATTTACTTTTTTAACATAATGTTTTTCCCCTATAAAATGGAATGAAAATAGTTAAAAATATAGGAGGGGTATTCATGCAGTTCAGTTTAAAATTTCCACTTTCTTTCTCCTGGATGAAAAGTTTAAATAAAATATCCTCATTCATGGTGATTTTCCATCTGCATGAGCAACTTCTCAAGTTAAGCAAGTCAACAGAACCATTTCACAAATGAATATTAGTGTGATTTGTTTTGTTTCATATATGTGGAAGTTTTTTTAAAAACAATATGTTGTTCCAGTCAAGTTTTAGGATGTTCCAGGAGACATATCCCCAGTGTTTCAGAACCAAAATCTGCAATTGTAACACCATATGTTTTCCTCACACACATTAACAAATGCCAAAATATGCATATGCCTTGATGACTGAAAGATTTAGTCAGTTGATTTAATTAAGGGGCCTAGGGAGTGGGAAATAGGAAGAAATCAGAAGAAAACAAAGCTCTTTCTGATAGCAAATGATAAAACTAGCATTATGCTTTCAGCCATATATCTCTCAAATGCCCTATATGGTCAGGTATTTAGTTTTAGGAAGAAAACTTTAAGTAGAAAATTGTAATTAAAAGATTTTGTACCTCAGTTGAAAATGGTAGATTTTTTTTTTTGTGATACCATCATTATCCTTGACCCACGTTTCACATTTAATTCCTTCTTCCACTGTGGAATGCATTGCACTTCTGGTGGCATTTGAAGCAATACAAATAAATATTTCTTTAATAACAATGGGTTGATGCCACTGTCTTTGCCCTCCATTTTTTTTCAGGTCTTGCTATGAAGAACTATGATCTCTACTTCTCAATAGACTTCCTCCAGCTATAGTCAGTATTTACATTTCAGCATGCCCCCTCCAAAAGTGGTATTGAAGAAACATACAGGGTCGCCCCAAAATATCAAATATGGTTATTTCTTTGTGATTCACTAGTAAAAACTGAATAGTCCAGCTCACTTTGGCCATATTCAGATTTCTAGACTTGAAATGTGTTTACATTCACTTTCCAGAATTGTAGGAGCAAACAGTTGAGCTCAGCTAGGCAGTTTTTCAAAACATTAACATTTGTTCCATCTAGACATTTATTACTGCATTTGCCTTCTTTTTTCCTACAAAGTCATGTGTCACACATCCCAGAATTTACTGTTTTGTAACATACAGATAAATAGAGGTGGCAATTAAAATAAGAGGGGCAAGCCAATCAGTTAATGGTAGTGTTTTTCCACAGGTAGTCAAGATATCTTAGGCAAAAAGTGCTATCAAAAGTTATAACAGTAAAAAGAATCATTTCTAGTGTATATGGTGAATAGGATTGAAAGACAAATCCAACAACCTATCAAAATCCCTTATGTGTAACAAATGTGGTGTGTATGAGAAAAAAGAGAGCTTGCATCTAAGTGCTGAATTTATTTTATGTGATCAATGCCAATTTAACCATCTTAACCCTCCTAAGTTCTTCAAAGACTTCTTTGATTTAGAGATCAAGGAACAATGTCTTATGTGTCAATTGGGTTATTAAAAAAAGGATGAAAGATGAATAGATCTAGTTGCAATGTAGTTGGTGATAAAATTATTTGACCTCCTGGGGTTACTACTCTGATTAGTGGAGAAACGGGTGTCTCAAGTCCAAAGACATAGGCTTTAGACAGATTCTGATGTTTTCCCCAAGTATGTTGGACGAATCACTCTGCAGAATTATAGCAGTTTGACACCAGTTTAATTGCCATGAGTCCACCCTATGAAATTCTGTGAATTATAATTTGTTGTGGCACTAGAGTTCTTTGACAGAGAAGGGTAAATATCTCACACAGCTACAAGTCCAATTTTTCCATTGCATCGAGAGATAACAATGTGGTGTCAAACTGCTATAATTCTGCCTTTGTGTTCTCTAGATTAGAGTTGTGATACATTTGGCCCAAAGTCCTAATCCAGCATACAGGGCTTCCACGTATGGTCTAGAAAGTGTTCTGAGAGAGAATGTCCATTCCATAACTCACACCTCCATAGTTTCGATAATTTCCTTTTCAAGGGGGGTGGGGAGGGGAAGTGAACATCAGGAGCACTGTGAATTTCAAATAATAAATAAATAAATAAATAAATAAATAAATAATCTTTATTTATACCCTGCCACCATCTCCCCAATGGGGACTCGGAGCGGCTTGCATGAGGCCAAGCCCGAACAACAAATTACAACAGAGTAAAACCGAAAACGCAAACCGAAAATGCGAACAATAAACAACATCATAAATACATAAAACGTGTGAATACATAGCAATATAAAATTACAATAAGCACAAACACAATGACAATGGGTGGGCTACATGTAATGATTATTTATTTATTTATTTATTTATTTATTTATTTATTAAAAACTCGGGCGAGATAAAAGAGAATCAGGTTATTTGTGTTGGGTTCATCCTCTCGTCAGTTATATTATATTTTAACAATGGCTTTGTTACTGTGTAAGACCACAATCCAAGACATTGATTCCTAAGGATCCTGGCATTTGTAGTCTTGTGAAGTCTTTCGAGCTACAAATCACAGGATTCCATAGCATTGAGCCATGGCAGTTGAAGTGGTGCCAAGGTGCATTAATTTTTAATATCAATAACAGTAATTAAAACAGTAACAAGTTCATTCCCACATAACTGTTTCATATTTCTGTACCCAGTTTA